CTTTATTTTTCCCAGGACTGATGTTGGGCTAGGACACTGCAAGTTAATGTATCATCTGCTTGCCCATGGTGGAATATCAGTATGGTACATGGCACTGCTACATACTGGAATATCATTGGCATGATTCATGTTTTATTTAGGCCTCCTAAATGTGACCTTTTTTTACTTTTGACATACTATTTTTTTACTGATGGAAAAATCTCATCAGCAAATGTGGAAGTAAAATAATTGATGTAAATATACTGAAGACCTAGTCATGCCACTGTGGAATTTTTAGAAATGAAAGAGAGAGCAATGTGAGTGTGGGAAAAGATATTGCAAAACACTACCACAGTTTTACAACACAAGGCTGTGTGCTCAGATTACAAAGTGCAAATGAAGAAGTTTGACTCTGCGTCTCTAATTCTGAAAGGCAGTTATGTTCCTGTTCTCAGAACTGGCTTGTCAGAAACAGGGACATTAGGTTACACATGCACTGGGATTTGTTCTGGATTCCAAAAGCTATCTCAAAGTGTTCATTTCTGTTCTAGCTTTATTCTAGTCTAACTATAGTATTTGAATTTGTACTGGATGCTTTGGGTCCCCAAATGCTTCGTGTTACTGGTTTTGAAGAGGTTTTAATTTCACAGTAATTAGGATAGAGACAAGAGATAAGAGATATGACATAGAGATAAGAGACAAAAGTAGTGCCTCAGAGAAAGGCGCTTTACTGCTGAATTTCGTGCTGTCCTTCGCTCCTCAAATAATCTGAAAAATTGCCATTTAAAATGTGCAGCCACATCCACTACGAGAAAATGTCTGAGAGGACAACCATCACTTATCTGCATAGATTTGTCACCTATGTGCACACAATAGTCAATATAGCTTCAGGAGTACCTGGCAGGAAGGTAAACTTTGCTGAGAATTAAGCAGGTGTTCCAACAGGACATCTCTGTCCTGGACTGTGTCTGAGGCTCTTCTCTCCCTGCAGTCAGAATCTACCTGGTTCCTCAGCTGGTCATTGGGTCCCTATTTATACTTAGGTTTCCCCAAAATCAGGCATATCAAGGAGCAAGGTAATCCATTTTACACAAATTGGGAAGACATAGGGATGATTAGTAGCAAATGGTCTACTGACAACTGCTCATTTTGTGTCAGGAACCAGAATCCAGTTTGCACTGAGCCATTGGTCTTATTGATTATCTATCCTGAAAAACATGAGGTCTTCCTTTAAGGTGTTTTGCTTTAAATAAATGATGAAGTATTCATTATATAAGGAAAGAAAAACAAACAAACAAAAAAACCATCCTCTATGTTGAGACTATATTGTTGTTGCAATAAAGAAGGTATAAAAATAAATGCTGCATATCCCAGATTCAAAATTTTTTTAACAATTTTAAAATGGAAGTACTGGGAAGTCTCCTACCTTAAAAATTCATGTATTCTCTGACAAAATGTTATTACTTACTATAGGAACTCTTCAAATGATAAGGAATTAGAAAATTTCTGCTGGAATTTCCAATACTGCTGAAGGAAACTGCTGGGATTATTGGACAAAAAAGGAGGATGCTTTTACCCTAATAGCTACTCTTCTCACTTGTCAGATAAACAGAGATCTTATTTGGTGGATTTAAGATATGTTCAATGCCTCAAAGCAGTTTAGAGCATGTATACCTAGGCTCTTTGTCTTGTAGGACTGCTTACACATGGGAGTGATATTTCAGTTATCTTGCTTTTCATATTTATTTTACTGATCCTCTAACATAAATATTTAAATTTTACCGATTCAAATTTCCCTATTTCTGAATTTACTTTCTTCCTCAGAAGATCAGAGCCTTGTCCAGACAAATTTTGAAAATCCCCAAGGATGGAGATCTCACAGCCACTCCAAGCAACCTATGCCAATTCTTAACCACTCCTTTAAAATCATTAAAAGAAAGCTCAAAATCAATACAAAGTTTATTGCATGTAATTATGGTAAAAGTTATTTTTAAATATGTATTTAATTTAAAGCATTTAGAAAACCTAGCCTGAGTTTAATATTACTGAATAAGATAATAAAAATTTTCCAGCACACAATAGCCTGATCATACTTGATAATTGACAGGTTTCATAGAACGATTAAGTTTTGAGTTTCCTCTCCCATTTCACACATGTTGTATGGGCAGGAACTGTCATTTCTAATTTTCAGAGAGCTTGACTTTGCATTCTTAACATTCCTTTAGCATAACTTGACTTTTTCTCCCCATTTATTATACATCAGAAATACGACTGTAAAAATAGGAGTTCAGTCCTGCTTTGCCTTTATACAGTGATTTGACTTTCAAAAGGTCTTGACTTATTATTATTGACATTGACTTCTCAGAGTTATTTAGATAAAAAAGGATGATTAGGGACAACTTTCAGTACTTTTTGTAAATATAGGCCTAGATTGCCTTTTAACTCTAATGGTTCTGTGTTAAAATGACTGCATTTTGCATCGTGAAACCATACCAACAGATCCCATCAGTGGAGTTTAAATTTTTTTCTTGTTTGTGAAAGTTGAAGACACTGCTGACAAGATCTAAGCACTGAAAGAATGTCAGATAAGAGAAATACTCTTAATAATCTTGATTTTTTTTCTTGATTTTTTTACTTGAATTCTTCTCAGAAAACATGGAAGTGGTGGGATAGCTCTGTAACGACTCACCAGGTAATATGACTGCACATACTTTTAGTCTGCCACCAGCAATCTGCAGGCCAGAGAAAGTAATAAGCAAGCCACTTCTCAGCAATATCCTTGTGGCTTAAATACATTTCTGTTTAAATTTCTGTCTGTATGCAAAACTTAAACAAAATAAATTCCCAAATTTTTAAACAAAATAATATAGTTTTAAGATATTGCAATTCTCTTATGTTTCTCATTTAATTTGAAGATATCCAATATTCTAGATTTCTTGCTTTAGGTAGACCTGTAGAAATTTTAAGAAAACAAGGAATGAGTTTTAAGAAAAATTAATTGCTCTTTCAAGAGAAAAATGCAGATAGGGTAAAATGCAGTAATTGTATTTGTAGTCTGTGCTTTGGTCCTGTCCCATTTGTATCATCCTAAGAAACTGCATTTTCAAAACTGTTGACTGAAGTGTTTTTAGTTGCTGGAAAGAGATCTTCATCAGTTTGGGCAGGGAAGGTCTAGATTATAGGTGTGTTTTGTGACTTTGGAATTCAGTGCAAACAAGAAGTATCTGTGGGCTGTTCTGAAACAGCAACAGAAAACAAAGGTTTACAGCAAATTCCTTCTATACAATGGGACATCTATTCTTTCTTTCAGCACCTCAAACTAATACTTTTGTTAAACTGATATGTAGTAGATTCCCTTTCTGTGTTCTAATTTAGGAAGCAGCCTGATTGTCTAACTTTCAGTGTGAGCACAAGCGTTATTGAAGCTGAAGAAGCTATCATTCTTGCTAAATAGTGATAAATCAGAGCTCAAACTAACCCTGCATTATACACTTTCTAGAACTAGTGTTGCAGACACTAAGTGAGACAAAGGTCTCGCTTAAGACAAATAATATTACAATCTGAGTAAATCCTGAATGCACATTTAGTTTTTTCTTACAAGGGGTGCATACCTTCTTAACATGAAACAGGGGACAATCTAAACAATGTGTTTTATATTTTATATCACTATTTTAGTGGAATATTATGACTTTAAGACTTGCATCAAAATAATTAATATTATATTCATTACTGTGCAGCTTAAACTTTTTATATGACTAGAAAATTAGTTTAAAGAAACATAAAATAATTTTAGACACGCAACCGTAACACAATTAAAAACCAAAGTAACTTCTGTAATGTAAAGAAATATAGTTAATTTAAGAAATATAGTTAATTTAAGAAATATAGTTAATTTAAATGCAAACCCCCTTTGTGAGGTATTTATCTCTGCTTAAGTTTGTTAGAGGGATTAAAAAGAAGTTTGTTTAATTGACAAAATTTTTTTTAATAAACAGGGGCTGCAGAGGAAGTCGTGCTATTATTTAGCAAATATTAACCATGCTTACAAAGAAGCCACTTAAGAAAAATTTATTACATGAAATCTGTGACCAGTCATTCCATAGCTAAAAAAGAAAGCCACGGCTGAAATGACTGGGGTTTGTGTATGCAGTGCTCCTCCAATAGTTAAATTGCAGGAATGTGACACTGATCTGAGATGAGAACTATCTGAAGTAGTAATTGTCAATTTTTGTAATCAAAGGACAGCCCAAAGTCTGGCTCAGTTTGGCATGAACGCTCGGTTTATAATGTCATACCAACTCGAAAAGTGATCTGTCCTCAAGAGGCACTTCATGAAAACGGTGTGGCTTGAAAACAGTGGATGGTCATCCAGGATTATAGCTTATACTGTGCATTTATTTATTTATTTTTATCTCTATTTTTATTTTATTTATTTATTTATTTATTGTGAAAGGGCAACAATGCCTCATTTAACTGACTGTACGTCTAACAAGGTGAGTCTAATGTGAATTTAGTTATAAATGAATGCTGTTGATCTTGAAGGTGCTTACGTTGTTCTATTTTTTTGCTGTTTAAGTACAAAAGTGTAGTTGCTTTGTGATAGTAAATTTAGGGTATGCATGTACGCTTGTAGATTTGATTGCAGTGATCAGAGATTCCAACAAAGACCAATTTTGCATGGGAAAAGTAAAATGTGTAGCACACTTCTCATCTTTTCTCAGGGTCGCTTATGATCAGACAGTTGCACTTGATGTTCTTTGCCAGTTACATCTGAATTATCCTCTTCTATTTTATTATTTAATAATTATTCAGAGGATCTATTCTGATATGTTTGGGAAAGATAGCACATAAGAAAGAAATGTGTAAGAGTACAAAATTTAAAAAAAAAAAAAAAAAAAAAAAAGATTTGAAGCAAATAATAATGATTCTATCCAGTGATATAAGAACTGATTCTGCTGCTTTCTAAGTCGTCACACCGGCAAATGCTTGAAACTTTAGCAGTTCTTTCTATTTCTTTCCAGGTACAAACACACTTGGAAAATCAGTCTAGATACCATATCCAGCAAAGTCAGCGGCACCAGGTGAAGCAGTACTTGACCCTTGACACAAAACTGTCCAGCCAGACTCTCTCCCTGTCCCACTCCCACACAGTCCAGCCCACAGGAGTGACCTCTATTTTAAGGAACGGACACATGCCTCCAGTCAGTGATATTGGCACACCAGAGAGTCCCGTGACCAAGCTTCTGGCCCTTGGAGGAGAACATGAAAATGCGGTAGGGCAAAGCTAGCAAAAAGAATGGGGAATTGGGCATTGTTTATTTCTATGAAAATGCAATAGGATTCACCTTGTATTCACTGTGGGCAAGAGATTATTGTCTTCACTTTCATAGAGCCTTTAGTTGCAGAGCATGTGCCCTGAGTCCTTTCAGATTACACAAACAATTCCCTTGAATGCCATGCAAATAGCTTATTGCAAGATCAGGTTTCTAAACTATGGCCAATGCATTCCTAGCAATGCAGACTTTTTTTTTTTTAACCAGATAAGAGTTATTTCAGTCTAAAAGTACTATCCTAGCTGCATAACAAAATTAAATACTGATTAAAGATGTAACTGAAAGAATCATTCATTCATTTTTCAGTTAGCTGGTATATTTATATACAGGTTATCTTGGGTAAATTGGCATAGATCTGCTAACTTTAGTGCCACCGTCGATTTTAACAGAGGTACAGCTATTATACAATGTCACATTCTCAGACAGTGTGAGATGTAGATCATTATGGCTTTTAATACTTCAGTAGATCTCAAAAGGTAGTGCTTATTAGGTAAAAGGAGAATTCCTGCAGAAATAAGTGGAGGTGCCATATCATATCTTGAGCGTTAATAGAATACGAATTACGAATACCCTGTGACCAATCTGAGCAAACTTGGATGCCATACAGCTAAGTATGAGTGAATTGAAAGGACAAAACTAGTACTTGTTGGAGGGCTCATTTGTGAACTCTCTGTTCTTTCTACATTGACAACTGACTATTAATGTCAGAATTATGGATTACTGAAACCATTACTCTGCAAAGATAGTTTTTGATGGCCTTCATGGTACTCTGTTGACTAGCAGTTACAGTGTCCTGGAATGGTTCTTAAGTACCTTGTATATGTGACCAGGAACAACTGTTTTCTGTACTATTACAACTCTTTATCTTCCAGAGCAAAAACAACTGCTTGCAAAGAACCTCTTATTCCCTACTGAGCTGTGCCTGTTGGTATTTGAGACGGTGATATTTGGAATTTACCAAAATCCTTGTAGGGAAGTCACACAGCAAGAAAATGTAACAGAATATTAATGAAAGGTTCTACTTTTACTGCCATAGCACAAAAATCTGTCTCTGATTTTGTGGGTCGACTATAGTAGGAGGCATTACTTTCAGAGCAAGCCTTGAAGACATGCTGTGTCAACTGACCTAAAAAGGCTACTGAATGGTCCCTTGACTGTGAGTGATATTTTTCTGTGCTGTGTAGTGATATTTCTAGTTGTTGCATGGAGCCTCCTCCATTTCCTTCAGCTATGGCTTTTTCTATATATTCCATCTGCTTCAGCAGATTTTGATTCAGACTAGAACAAAAGTGGGTCCAGAAGGCTGGCTAGAGAAATATCCAGTGTAATGCTAAGCACAACACAAACTGTGGAATCTTGAGAACAGTGCATAGTACCAAATCTTGAGTGACTCATACTCTTGCAGAACCACAGGTTCCTTTCAGTCTTCCTGCGCCAGTGGAACAAAACACTGTGAATATGACACAGTTGATGAAGGTGACAGATCATAGTTACAGCTTAGCAACGTGCTTTTGTTGTCTGATTTTGGTGTTGCAATACAGCATGAGGAAAGAAGAGTGAGTTGGTGGCTGGAAAGAAGGATGCTAAACCTAGGAAAGAAGTAATGCTGAAGCACAAAAGTCTACAAGAATTTTAATAATATTTTGTAGAAGTACTTGAATTATTTGAATTTTAAGATATAAACTTCTGGAATTTTGTATTGAAGTAATAAAAACAATTATATTACATATATTTTCAGAATAATATTTTCTGCGATAATAATAATTATTGGTCTTAAAATATTATTTCACTAGATGGAAGAAGTTATTGAAGACATAATCAATATGGAATCCAGCTTTAATGATGATGGGATAGGTTGCTCTGAAACACCTCTTCTGATGCAAAGAACTGTAAGTATTTTGTGGAATTTGGTCTTCATATTTATAATAGAGAAATTCACTGAGTTATTCAATTGCACATTACATGTCAGAAGCCAAAGCAGTGCTATCAGTGGATTATTCTTCTTTAGCTACCTGTCTTTTTGTCAGAGAACATTATAGGAAAAGTGTGGTGGGGACAGAAGTGTTGTAAGAGTTCTGATTAGCTACTGAAATACCTTGAGAACTTGTAGTTCTAGCCCAGCACCAGTTCTATTGTTACAGCTGTAGTTCACATGCCGAACTATGAATACGCAGATTCTCTCTGCTCTCAAAGGTGTTAAAAAGCTTTGCTTAAAGGTTCTTCTATCTTGTGTTAAAAATAAAATAAAAGCTTGGCCACATAATAGTACCTAGAGTAATGTATTTACTTCAGTGTCACATATTGAAACAAGTGTTGCCCCTATTGGTTTTTATAAAGTGAAGTTGTGCTTTTCCTGAGTAATATTAACAACAATGATGAAATGCTTTACAGTAGAAATCATAACAAATTATTATTGCTCTCCACCCTCTTTTTTTAATAAAATAATGTTAAAGGACTGACAAATTTACTTAAATTTTCATACATGATACAGATTTAAAGAGAAAAGATGGACCTTTTCTGACACAAATGCTCATTATCATTTGGGAAAACAGTGTCTGTAATTTTTTTTTTCTGGTTACAAAACATCGTTGTCTACCAAAAAATATATTAGAAGACAAGATCTCTGCATCACTATGTTGCCCACTACAAGGTCCAGTTTTAATGTCAATTAACAATTCTATAAATACCTGGCATTTGCATAGCATTTACAAAAGTAATACAGTATAATTTGTACACATCTCAGTACAGAACATAGCAAAGAAATGCTCCTTGGGGGCTGAATTAATATTTTGGTAGAGATTACTGTGAAGCATGGGAGGATGCTTTCAGATGTTGGTTGTATCATGGACTGGGATGATGGGAAGCATGAATTCTGGATTTTGAATTGGACTTGCACTCCCTCAACACCTTTTAGAACTGGATGACATAAATCTACCCTAATTCCAGACTCATTAGTCTTTATCTAGCCATGAAGGACATACACCAGTGAAATATACTGAATACTCTATTCTTGAAGAGCAAGGTGAGATGTAAGGGTTTTTAGGCCTAATCTACATTTTACTTTCAAAGATTTTATACTCCTACAATGACTGTGTGCCAGATAATGATGTACAGATTTCTGTTTGTATAAAGGATATCAACAATTTGCTAGGTAAACTGGAAAACAATGTATGTTTCCAAATATTCAGTAGCGTGGCAAAATGTAGCTGGCCTTCCGCTGTGCATGCAAACTGTGCCAGAGTGGGAAGAGTCAAGCAAATCTCTGCCTTTGCCTCTTCCATCTTCTCTTTTGTCATTGTGCCCTTCTTTAGCACAATGCTGAAGTGTCACACCTTAAATGTTACGTTCCTTGGATTACTACAATTGGTGCAAAAGTGTCTCTCTAAAACTGTGATAAAATTAGTGTCCTGGTTTTCTGAATATGGTAGATGATCTTTTCTTCTTTCTTTTTCTTCTTCTTCTTCTTCTTTTTTTTTTTTTTTTAATTTATTTTTTTCCTTTTCCCCCAGAAATCTTTAAGCTTGACACAGCCAAATTTCTGATTTTTCTCAGTAGACACTGGTTGGGATTAAAGACTTCACAGTGTTATCCATTGTGTGTTGCTGTGAACTGATGTTTGCATTAGTTAGATGCATCTATATACCATTTTAATGACACGTTAAACGAGGACACTGAATTCTATAAGACTACTCATGTGAATAATTGCACAGACTCATTGCCTGACCCTGAATTAATGAATTACAGTCATGTATTAGTAGAATCAGAGAAGTGAAAACAAGAACATCCCTCCATCTCTTATTAAAATTATAGCTTCTAAATTGCAGTTACTCTGTCTTTTATTGTGCTTGGCCTAAAATTCTCAAAACTTTTTTGGTTTTGATCAAGAACTTAAGAATTGTTCCAAATAGGGAATAGCTTTTGCTTCTCTTAACACCACCCAATTGCTTTAAAATTGCCTTCTAAAATGACTTTTAGAAGTTGAGTTACAAGATTACGTGTACTCCATGTGCAAGAGATCATACTTCATCTGAAAGTATTTGTAAACCCTGTTATAGAGCTATCCAGAAAATACAGCTGAAATTATATGATCTATTACTTGAAGAAAACATTTTGTTCACGCTGGAAAATGTACTTAAAGAGTAATAAATCTGTAAAACAATTAGAATCTCTACTTTTAACCAGGTTCAAGTGGTAAGAAAAAATTAGATTTCTCTGCTGATAATGTCTAAAATTTAACAAAGAAAATTTGCAATTGAAAGAGAACACAACCAAATTATAATCCTTTTCCTAGTTTCCATAATTCAGTCTTGTGAAACTGTTTTCTAACAGCCCGTAACATACAAAACCATATTATATGAAATCCATTTCTGTTCTAAATAACACATTTAGAAAGATATCTTCCTGACCTCATAGACAACACTGCAAAGTTTCCATTTGAAATGAATACGAGTGAGTTTTTGAAGGTGAAGAATGTTGTTTATGTCTCATATGTTAACAGATTTTTGTAAAATAAACATTTCTCATTCCCATCAAAAAATTTGTTCTTATTCAAAACCTTCCAATTATCTTCAACATTTTACTGTGAAGTTCAAGTTTATTAAATTTCATATGTTTGGAACATACAAAATGTAGATGTACAGGTTTGTAAGTGTAAAACAAATATTACGTAACTGTTGAAAGTTTAGAGTAAGTACCAAAAAGCTGTGGTTTGTATCACTTTTAATACCTGAAGTGCAGGAAACATGCTGGATCAAGGGAGATAAGCAGAGCATTAGTCACAGTGAAGAGAGCCAGAAAACAGCAGAGTTAAAAAACAGGATCTCTGCACTTTTCAGTATTGGATTTGACAGTGTGTAACCCAGGGAAACCTTTTGTTTTTACTAAATGCTGTTTTGTTTTGCTAATATGTGTATACAGCCCTAGGACTCAGCAGCAAACCATTGATTTAGCAAACACAAGAGTCATCTCTGTGAAAAGTTTGGCATTTTCCCAGTGGTTTCCTTTAGAAATAATTGCTGAATCCCAGATAACCACTGTGTAGATACTGGGATAATGATCGCTATTTGACATGGAGTCCGCTCAAACGTACATCAAAGGCATTAGGATATTTACTGATTTATAGTGAGAATAAGATGAGAAGATACTACAGTTCTGAAAGACACAGACTTCTCCTATGGCGCTGTGTGGGACAGTGCTAAAAATGATTCAATTTTGTGAGCATATCCAAGGATTATAAATTGTCTTTTGTTCTGATACTCCAGAATACAAGACCTTTTAGAAGTACTCTTGAAGGGAAACAAAGAGGCTCTGTATACAGTAGGTGGCTGGTGGTGAGTGAAGGAATTCTGCTTGAGGGAGAGCACTACCATAAAAATGGTCTTGAAAAAATCCCCAGCAATGGCCCACTAATGATCTGGCCCACTAATGGTCGAAAGAGGTGGGTTAACTGTTACTGGAGTAGTAGGTATGGAATGGTTAAACAAAATGGAAAAATTCAGATTATTTGGGACAAAAGGAAAAGCTCCAGGAAAAAAAAAAAACAAACAACACCTCTTTGTTGATTTGTTTACAATGTCCAGCACTAAAAAGAGTTTAAAAAAAAAACAACCAAAAAGCGAGACACAAAACTAATCAAGTGTCTTTTTCTCTGTACACTGAAATTGTCTGTTTTGCCCAGCAATAATAGGGATAGTTACAGTTTGTCCATAACCTGATTCTTCCCAGCTTCCACCTTTACTTTGCCCTCCCTCCAAGAACTCAAGTGGCTGCCTATAAGATAAAGGGGGCCTCTAGTTAAATCATTAAAAGATGCCTATGATGTTCAGACCAAAGCAATAATAAAGCTAAGCTCAGCCTTATCAGCAAACCTCAAAGGGTTCTCCTTCCATTCCTAGGCCTGTGGTTGTAAACATGTAGTTTGAACACTGCTTCACTAACTCACTTTCTGCTTTCATATTTGCTTACCCATAACTAAGGAGTCATTGACTGAGAGGAGAAGAAAAAGACGGGCATCCTGAAAGGCATGCTTTTACTAGCAATTAGATAGTAGCGTTGAAGTGGCATGCTTCAGGGAGCAACAGCACATGGGGCCCATAGTGCTGTGGGGATATGTTGGCTTACAAGAGAACTCCTCTTGAAGGATCCTAAAAGATTTCATGACTTCATCACTGCATGTTTTTGGTACACTCTCACTGAGATTGGTCTGCTTACTCTCTGCTTTGGAGTCAGGTCAGTTGGGATTGCTCCACTTCTCTCACTGTTGCAGGAAAACAGCTTACAGAAAAAATCCTGATTTTTACTAAGGCTCACCTGTGGCTTGACTTTGGTCAGCTCTTTTGGCATTTGGAAAAATCTTGGGATGTGCAAGAATGGGTTAGAGGTTAGATCAGGTCAAAAGAGGCTGGCTGTTTGCCTTCTCTAATATGTATGATTCTGTCGACTACAGACGGTTCTCATTAAATCTATTAACTCTGCATTTGATTTTATGGAGACACTATTAATAAAAATAGAGTCAGTCTGCAAGATCTCAATTCTGTTACAAGCTCTTTGAGGTCACAGTTTCTCATCATGGCATTAATAATTTGGATTTGTTCTAATTATTTTTGAAATACTTATGGCTACCATTTGGATGAATTACTAAAACTGTTGTGGAATTATACTGAAAAAAAGAAATTCAAGTAGGTATCCTCAAAACTGTTTTATTCACTAATTGTTGGGAATACTAAATCATGAAATAAAATCAGTTTTCCAATCAGGTCTATTTTGCATTGTTGATCTAGATACCCCTATGCTGCATAATCATATGATTATTTTTTAATTTAGGGATTTTTTAATTTAGGGATTGGCCACTTGCCAATCTTTACAAGTTTGAAAAATCTGCTAAAACACT